CCTGTGAGCCCTGGGGGAGGGAGGTGCAGCATCACGGTTACGAAGAGGCATATTACGACGGCGTTGCGCTTGCAGGAAACGAGGCACGATAACGCGAGGAAGTGGGCGAGGAGGTTCAGGCTCGCGGTCGTCAGCCTCATCCTCCTCCGAAAACATGTCGTCGTCATCCTGCCAATCGTTATCCCACTCCGGGGGACGTGTGACCACCTGCGATGAGAGAGGTGGCGGAGCAGGGGGAGCCAGGAGCGCAGGAGGAGCAAGAGGTGCAGGGGGCGCTGGTGGCGCCGGTGGCGCCGGAGGAGCGGGAGGAGCGGGAGATGCAGGCGGATGTCTAGGAGCCGAAGGATCTGGTGGGAAAGGACGGAGCAACGTCTGATTCCCGAAGGGTGGGCGATGAGCTCGCAAAAGTGACACACCATTAACTGCTCGAGCGGCCATGGGGGAAATTTCGACGAGGGATAGCGAGCTAGGCGAGATTGGGCAATGCCCGAGCCTCTGTTAGAGAGCTTGGGCATTGTGAAGAATTTGATTGAGGCTGAGAGGAGTGAGGAGCAAGAATGACAATGAGCAAGAGAAGGTTGGAGAAGAACCGTGGCCGATGCCCCAAGCCGAAGCGCGCACGGCTCTGCAAGAAGCGATGGGACCATGCATGCTGGTCCCAGCTTGTCTGTGCTAGAGGCACGAACGTGAGCGAGGCATCCCTAGACGTGGAACGCAGACGCGACACTAGGAGACCCGGTCCAGAGGGGGGTCGGTGAAACCTGCGGCCGCTGGGAGTGAGGCCACAGGTTCAGCTGGTGAGCTGCATAGCGAACAGCGAACGGCCTCAGAAAATGGGGTGCACCAGCATGAATCATGGAGGAACGAGCCACCTCCATGACCAAGCCGATGCGTCACTCAGCGACCACATTCTGCTGTAGGGAGTCCGGTAGGGTGTACGACTCGGTGATGCCCTCCGCACGATAGAACCGGCCAAGCCGACCGAAGGCAAACTTGCTGCCACGGTCGGAGTGGAGACACAGTACGGGGAGACTTCGGCGGACTCGCGGAACTACGACCCACGGGATAAGAACGTCAGGCACGTCGGCCTTTCGCTCCATGGGAAACACCGTGGTGTAGCTCGTGTAGTCCTCGACAAGCACCAAGAAGTAGCGCTCTCGACGAGGCCCCGAGACGGAGGCTGGACCCCAGACGCCCAGGTGCAGGGTCTAGAGTGGCGCAGTGGCAGGGCGAATTGAGGAGGAGTGAGGAGCACGGCGCAGCCGGCCCTCGACGCAGGGCGTGCACGGCGGCGCGGGCAAGGGAGGGAGGGAAGGGAGCAAAGAAGGGAGACATAAGACAAGACCGTGCTGGGACATGTGATGCACACGTGCAAGTTCTGGGTGACCTAGGCGGTGGTGCCACAGAAGCGACGGGTGAGTGAGAGACCAATACGAGCAAGCCATGGCTACCTGGGGGAACGCCCTCACCGGGGGGGGGACGCAGTGTCAAGCATTAACAGGCCGGACACCGGTTCCCGGGGGAACATCGCGAGGGGGGCACGTGAGGCGGTCTCGATGCAGACGCGTACCGCTCGTGTCCGGGAAACGTAGTGGTGACACCACCTAGATTCCTAGAGAACGAGGGGATGTGCAGGCCTGTAAGAGTGCACGAGGGGGCCGCTGGACAGGGAAGGGTGGTGGAGCTACGTGCAACTACCAGACCGGAGGAGGGGTCTGCAAGTGCGACGGTGGCAGGGGCGGTAAGCGGCGTAAGGGAAGTGTGGTCGCGGAAGAAGCAGGTAGATGCACCAGAGTCAAGCGTGAAGGAGAGCAAAGCACTAGCGGCTGCCGGTGGAGGGGCTAGTGTGGAGCCTAGGCTAAAGAAGGCAGGGGGTCTTACGCTTGACGCAGCAGGATATGGTGTAGAAAGAAAAGTAGCACGATCTCAACAACACATTTCCAATACTTTGGTGATGGTTCTTAGAGTAACGAAACAAACTAGAATGAGAGATACTAGGTGGTTTTGTGCTGAGGGGTTGTACTGTTGAATTATATATTATATATATATAATTGTAGGCTTGGTTATGCTACTTACTGAATCGTACTGTAGAGGGGACTACCCCACTTCTTCTATCTCCTTCTCTTATAGTCCAACCACTCTTCTCTCTCGTAAATTTTCTCCTTCCAAAACATCTCGCCATTCAATGGCTCCTCTACCTACCTAGCTTATTTCAACATGGTTTCAGAGCAAGTCCGTCTGCTCGGGCCCGCTCATCACGCTTCCGCCGCGTACTCCTTCCCCTCTTGTTACTTCCGCGCCACCGTGGAAGCCATGTCGTGCTGCCATGGCGGCGTCGTCGTGCTGCCGTGGCAGCCTCGACGTGCTGCCGTGGCTTTGATGCCACATTGTGGCGGCTTCTTTGTGCTGCCGTGCCGCCGTCGTCGCGTCAGCGCACGGGCGGCAGTGGGTGGCGCACTTGTTTAGGTGCCAGACAGCAAGCCCTCACTCCACCTCGCCGCGCCTCCCTAGCTCGCTGTGTCAGACCCAGCTCGCCGCGTCGGACCCAGCTCACCACGTCGGTCCCAGCTCTCCACTCCGGACCCACCTCGCCGCGTCGGTCCTAGCTCGCAGCGTTGGTCTCAGCTCGTCACGCCAGCTGGCTCCGCCACGCTGCAGCTCAAGGATGCCTAGCGCCTTCCTTCCCTGCAGTCACCTTTGCTGCAGGGTATGGGGGTGCTAGGCTTAGAGGTGTTGCATGTGGGGTGGGCTTGTGACTACCAAGCCTAGGGGGTGGGTTAAATTATATATTATATATATATAATTGTAGGCTTGGTTGTGCTACTTACTGAATCCTATTGTAGAAGGGACTACCCCCCTTCTTGTATCTCCTTCTCTTCTAGTCCAACCACTCTTCTCTCTCGTAATTTTTATCCTTCCTAAAACCTCTCGCCATTCAATGGCTCCTCTACCCACCTAGCTTATTTTGACATGTACTCCCTATGAGCATGCATATATCTAGCCTAAAACAACATACAAAATATGTTGACACACCCCCTAGGCTAGACATGGGGCAGCGACTAGCATGAGACACGCAGCTCAGGTTGGCACTACTAGTCCAACCACTAAGGCAAGGGTTTGAAGACTAGTCAGCAAGAGTACAAACGAGAGAAGAGCAAACCAGGGCGCCACTACTAGTCCGGCCACTAGAACAGAAGCCACAAGGCCAGCCAGGAGAATATATAAAAGAGTAGTACACAATCAAGGCCCTTGCAAGTGAGGAGCTACAGGAACTAGACCAAGCTATACACAGTGCCGCTGATGATCTTTAGGCGGAAGCCAGGGCTGACGTTATTAGGGTATTTTACCCTAATTCCTTGATTTTACAGGGTATGTTTTTCGGCCAACCCTTAATTTTTAGGGTGGTTAAAATCTGAAGACTTAATCCTTCAGGGATGTAAGTTTGGTAAGACATAGAATTTCAGGGACCGTGTTCTGTGGATACTGAGTTTCCAGGGCTTAACGCTTACCGACCCTGATACAGAAAAATTGTACCAAACTGCCCACAATCCTGCTATTTCGGTAAAGTCCCCAATCGCAGGGACATTCCCCCCCACACACCCAGCAACCTATGTACAAAAATCGGCTAAGTCCTACTGTACAGACACCCCCCACACACACAGCAACCTATAAAAATGTTCCAAGTCCTCTTGTACAAACACTCGCCCCACACACCAAGCAACCTACAAAAAAATCGCCCCACATCGTTCATCGGCCTCCCTGCGGTGACAAGCCTTTCAATCTCCTTCTACGCCAGCCTCTCTGATCCGAACTACCAACCCTCCGCCAGCTCCAACCTCTTGCAATGGCATTGTCTCAAGTCGTTGTAGCTCAATACGATCGATCCTCGATTTGACATAATCTTCCCTGTAGGATTGTCAAGCAGAAGCATCGAGAGATTGATACTCACCGATTGCCCCGAGTTGAATCGGTTCCCCGATGACATCGGAGAGATGTTGCCATGTCTTCACGAGCTGAGTATACGCCGGTGTAATTCTCTCATCCGGTTGCCAGATGGCTCCAACCCGCTGAGCCATTTAGAACGCCTAACGATTTCTTCATGCACTGGACTTCGGAGGCTCCCTGAGAATTTCGGCCGTTTGCCTACAGTCAAGAAGTTGGTAGTCGATTTGCTGCGTTTATCACTCGTTCATCCAGATTTCTTCCTTTGAGACTCTTATCCTGTCTGGGTGCTCCGATCTAAGTTAGCTTCTTAAGAATTTCGGCAACCTCAAAGCGATGAAAACGCTGTTCATTGTGAGGAGGACATTGAAGTTGATGCTTCCTCAAAGTATTGGGCTGCTAAGCAACCTCCAAACACTCGTGTTACGCGGCAACCAGGAGCCTCTGCTCGTGACGTCATTCACCCAGTTGACCTCCTTCACAAGGCTTGAGCTCCATAACTGCTCATTCGTTGAGCTTACAGAAGCGGTTACAAGATTTTCCAAACTAGAGGTCCCGACGGTTGATGATTGTCCGAAGATGTTTTCGGTACCAAAAAGGCTTGATCAACGTGGGTGGCTCGAACGGCTTCAGCTAACACATTGTTTGCCTGTAACCAAACCTCCTAAAGCGCTACCACCTTCTCTTGAGATCTTCGGCTGGAATATCCCCCTTCTCCAAGATACGTCAAACCTTTCAAATCTCAAGAGTTTGAGCTTGGAGATGTATCGTGTTGGGGATCGGTTGGTGGGTAACAAACAGGCCCCCAAATTGGTTTTGGGGTTGCCTTATTCGTCAGACTTGCCTGCCATCCCTTGGTATGGGCATCAGAGTTGCCCCTAAATAAAATTCTGAATAATCAGAGTAACAAGATATTTTGTGTATGATCAATCAGAGTCACTATGTTTTTAAATGGTGACATTAATGCCGTTGTCAAATGTCAATGAATGTTCTGCACTCAGCCTCATCTACCTTCTCTTTTGCCCCGTGCAGTCCCTCTGTGGTGGAATATCAATCGCCGTTACTACGACGCAGGTGGTAACCACATTTCGCCGATCGTTACCTGGGGCGGGGACCTCGAGGACCGAACCTACAGCAAGGGTAAGGTGCTGCTGATGACCCACGTGGAGGACCTGCTAGCGGCGGCTATTAAAACCCAACAGTTTCCCTACGACCCCGCTGCCGTCTACTTTGTCATATCAGACGAGCTCGTGACACAGGTAAGGTGCGGAGGAGACAGGTGCAGTGCGATACAGTATGGTATTGGAACAGGACGTGCAGCAAGGGCAAGGTGCTGCTAATGACCCATGTGCAGGACCTGCTACCGGTGGCTTTTGGTACCCAGCAGTTTCCCCAGGACTGCGCTGCACTCTAGTTTGTCCTATTGGACGAGCTCGTCACACAGGTGGGTGTGATTCTTCTTAAGTCAACTCAGAAGATTGCTAGGTTTGGCTATAACCAGCCAGAAGTTCCCCCACAACCCGGCTACAGTCTACTTTTTTGTCTCATGAGAGCTCGTCACACAGGTGGGTGCGAGTCTTCTTAAGTCAACTCAGAAGTCTGCTTGGGTCGGCTGTCAGCAGCCAGGTGTGATTCGGTGCTGGCAGGTGCAGTGCGGTACAGTATGGAGTTGGAGCTGTACCTTGTTTGGGTGGCCCGTTGCATTTTGTAGCCCCTGATGGTGTAATTCCTTGTCCCTCCTGGCCGGTGTCTCTACTTGCTTTGCTGCTGCAGAAATGTGGCAACCTGAGCATGCCTCAGAAGTCTTAGTCGACTCAACAGTCATCGGTTCCCCACCCCGGCATGTCAAGTGTCATCTCTCCCCCCCAGCAGCGTCTCTTGAGGTGCCTCGAAAATTGCCTCAAAACTTTGGGGCGCCTAAAAAATCCCCAGCAGCGTCTTTACTGCCACAGAGCTAGAGCAACCTGAGCACGCATGAAAGAAGTTATTTCGAGAACTCGAAAAAAAAAAAAAAAAAAAAAAAAAAAAAAAAAAAAAAAAACAAAACTAACTCACTTACTAACTAACTAACAAAAAAACACTCTTTTTTTTACCATGTGTATCTACTGCTGCTGCAGAAATGGGGTGGCCTGAGCACGTCTGACAAGTATTTGGGATCACCTCTAAAGTCATCTGTTCCCACCCCTGGCTGCTGCAGCAACGGAGCAACCTGAGCATGTCTCAGAAGAGTTGGCTGTCTTACTCTAATTGGTTCCTTAGACTTCTCAAGTACCTATAGATACTTTTCCCTCCCGTTGTCTCTACTGCTGCTGCAGAAATCGACCGACACGAGCACGGCTAAGAAGTTCTGCACGCAAGAGTCATTACCACGGGTGCAAGGCACCACCACGCTTGGCCGGCTCAAGAGTCGTTACCACCCCCCCCCCCCCCCCGCTCCCTCCTTCCCCCCCTACTGCTGCTGCAGAAATGGACCAACACGAGCACGACTGAAAAGTTCTGCACGCAAGAGTCGTTACCACGGGTGCCAGGCACCACCATGCTTGCCGGACTCAAGAGTCGTTACCCCCCCTCCCCCCTTCCCGACTCCTACTGCTGTTGCAGAAATCGACCAACACAAGCACGGCGACAAAATCTGCACGCATTTATACGGGTGGCACCAACACAGTTGGGCCGACTCAAGGGTCGTTATCCCCCCACCCAACCCCCCCTCCCCTTCTCCCCCCATTCACCCCCCCTACTGCTGCTGCAGAAATGGACCAACACAAGCACGGCTGAGAAGTTCTGCACGCATTTCTGCGGGTGGCACCAACACAGTTGGGCCGACTCGTACGGCAGCTACGTTTATTCTTGGATTGGCAACGCGAAACTGATTGTGAGTGGAACCTATTCTAGAGGTGCTTAAAACACACACACACACACACACACACACACACACACACACACACACACACACACACACACACACACATTTATATATACATAATATTTATACTATATATATAATATGCACGCCTTTCTGAAGGTGGCACCACTTTGCTTGGGCTGACACGCATGGTCACTGCGTCAACGTGTTTCGTTGCTTACTCAACCACTGCAGCAGCCCGATTACTAAAAAAATATATTACTACAACTGTTGGATCAGCAATGCAAGCCTGCTCGAGAGTGAGACCTCAAAATAGAGATAGCTCAACCACCTTCGCATGATGCCGTGCTTGCTACAAGGCCAACTTGCATGAGCTCTGGTTCAAATAATTCTCAGAAATCAACTACCTCCTCATGACGCCTTGCTACCCTGCTTTGCTTGCTACAATGTCAGCTTGCACCCCGACCCCTCACCTCTCTCTCTCACCTCCCCACCCCTCTCTCCAGTGCCCCAAATCCTGCAACATCCACTCAGCACCCTCCCAATCTTGAGACATCTCAAATTGCAACCCCTCTTGTGCTCTCCTCCCCAACCTGTCACTTCCTCTCACTTCCTCTCCCTCCCTTCCCCCCTCTGTTCTTCCCCTCCCCTGTGCAGTGCCCCGACTCCTGCATTCCCAATGCCATCCGCTCAGCGCCCTCTCAGTCCCCCACGGGAGACCCGGGCATCGACGCCCTCGTGTCCGTGTTTGCCCATGAGCTCGCTGAGGCGGCTTCCAACCCTTACCTCTCCACGTGGTACGACAACGAGGGCTACGAAAACGCCGACAAATGCGCGTGGAAGTAAGCAGCCTTCAGCACACTCTCTCCTGCACACTCTCTGCTGCTAACTTTTTGCTGCACACTCTCTGCTGCACACTTTTTGATGCACACTCTCTGCTGCACAATCTCTGCCACTTGTCTTTTCTGCACAACCTAGTAGCCACAGGGCGAAATTCCTCATTCAGCAATACTGGGACCTGGAGACTGGCTCCTGCAACCTCACCCTCCCCTGTTGTTAGTTGGTATTGGAGATTCTTCAAAAGCCTAATCATTCTCAGTACCCTACACTGGCCCCATTCCCGATGCCACCCCCCAGGTTCGACCCCATTCTCCAAGATGCCTCAGGCATCAAGCACAACCTGGTGGGAGTCAAGCGCGAATCTGCACAGTAAAATTTCGACGCCACCTGGATTTATGTGGTTGAGAGCGACGGAACGCAAACATGAAACGGGATGGGAGTATTTCGAAAAGTGATCCTAGGAACACGCTCTCAAAGTCGCGCGTGAGTCTGGGCAGAGGTTGCCTGGGAAGAGGCTCGTAGGAACATGCTCTTAGTCCCTTCGTTTGTTCTTGTACATGGTAGAGGTTGAGGTTATTTGGTTGCAAGATTTGCTCCCAAGTTTTGCAGCCCATATTGCAGCAAAAATGAGGGGTTGACTCGAAGTTCAGCTGTCGTATCAATTAAGAAACGTTTTGTGGTGTCCTGGGAAGATCAATTTCGTTGATCGCATGCGTTTTCACCAGTCGTGCTCATGTATGGGTGATCCTTGAATAGATACACGTGCCTCCTGTCATGCGATTTGCCCTTTTCGCGTCTCATGAACATGAGCCATGTCCCCGCAGGGCTCACGTGTTCCCAGCCAATGTATGGGAGGGTAAGCACAAGGGCATATATTGTGACACGACTTTCAGAGGAGTGTGCAGTGCAGGCCAATAAATTGGTTTTGGCCCACTCGTACGAATCAGAGTGCTTGAGACATTTAACCCTGTGTTGGAAATATCTCGAACACTTAAGCGTTTCTGAATTGTAACACTACACTCGAGGAAAGTCGTATCGGGTACGCGAGTCAACGGAGGATACACGAGGAGGTTGGACGAAAGAATACCTCGAAGACTTAAGTGTTTCTGAATTGTAACACTACACTCGAGGAAAGTCATATCGGAGCCGCCCTCCCCCCCGCCCAGTCCCAAACGAGCCCACCTGCCAAAAAAGGTACCAAGAAATAGCATTGGTGGTTTTTTAAAGATAATTTTTTTGCCAGGAGGTCACTAAGACCACACGTGCCTGTAGCGAAGGGATCAAATGTGGGAAACAAATGTAATGGTGCCCCGATCAACATGCTTGTCAATCAACCTCCGTGCTTCCATGAGTCAATGACTTGTGCTTTATTACTCTAAAAAGCTGGTCATTGGTGCCTCAATTGTAGGGATCTGAAGAAAACACCGAAGCAAACATATGCTGTGGTCCGGTATACATGTCAACCCATACATGTTATGCATGTAGAAGTTATAGGCTAGTATCGGTGTGTGCTCCTAGTGAGTACAACCCAACTGCTATATGTGTCATGTTTTCCCTTCTAGTAATTCATTCACGTATTCTAACATGGTATCGAGTAGGTTAGGTTCACCCGCCCGCTTCCGCCCGCGCCCTAGTCTCTCGCCCGCCCCTAGCTGGCCCCCTGGTCGTCGCGTCCGCCCCTAGCCGGCCCCCTGGCCGTCGCGTCCGCCCCTAGCTGGCCCCCTGGCCGTCGCGTCCGCCCCTAGCTGGCCCCCCTGGCCGTCGCGTTTGCCCCAAGTCGGCCCCTTGGCCGTCACGTCCGCCCCTAGTCGCCCCCCTGGCCGTCGCGTCCGCCCCTAGCCGGCCCCCTGGCCGTCGCGTCCGCCCCTAGCTGGCCCCTTGGCCGTCGCGTCCGCCCCTAGTCGGCCCCCTGGCTGTCGCGTCCGCCCTCAGCTGGCCCCCTGGCCGTCGCGTCCGCCCCTAGTCGCCCCCCTGGCCGTCGCGTCCGCCCCTAGCTGGCCCCCTGGCCGTCGCGTCCACCCTCAGCTGACCCCTGGCCGTCGCGTCCGCCCCTAGTCGGCCCCCTGGCTGTCGCGTCCGCCCCTAGCTGGCCCCCCTGGCCGTCGCGATCGCCCCTAGCCGGCCCCCTGGCCGTCGCGTCCGCCCCTAGCTGGCCCCTTGGCCGTCGCGTCCGCCCCTAGCCGGCCCCCTGGCCGTCACGTCCGCCCCCAGCTGGCCCCCTGGCCGTTCGCGCCCGCCCCTAGCTGGCCCCACTGGCCGTCGCGCCCGCTCCTAGCTGGCCCCCCCTGGCCCCACGCGCCCGCTCCTGGCCGGCCCACTGACCGTCGAGCCCGCTCCTAGCCGGCCCCAGCAGCGCCCGCCCGACCCCTCCTCGCGCCCGCCTGGCCCCCAATCGCGCCTGCCTGGCCGCCCCGCGCGTGCTAGGCCCCTCCTAGCGCCCGCCCGGCCCCTCCTCCTGCCTGCTCGGCTTGCCGTGCCACCTCGGGCCCCGTGTCCTCTGCTAGCCCGCACTGGGGCGCCCCTGCAGCCGCCCTACTGGAGAGTGCTGCTGCCGTGTCCCCGTGCCGCTGTGCTCCTGCCGAGCTGTGGAGCTGTGCCGCTGTGTCGCTGAGGAGCTGTGTCGCTGACCCTGCACAATGGCTGACTTCGTGCTCCGCCTGGACGCTGAGGGCCACGCGGTTGACTTCGCCGCCTGGCTCTCCGATCTCCGCCGCCAGCTTACAGGTCAGCGCTAGGATGGACACTCGCTGGTTGTCCATGCTGATGGCTTGCTCCACCGCCCCCTTGCACCTGCTCCCCTCCTTGCTGACCCCACCTCCGCTGAGAGTGAGGCTTTCTCTAGTGCTGCGCTTGCCTGTGCGGTCCGGGACTCACGCAATGCAGTAGCTCAGGTTGCTATCAGTCACACCCTCCCTGTGTCTGAGCGCTCGCGTTTCGCTACGGTTGATACGGCCAAAGCTTATTTAGACGCTGTTATTGCTCGCTATTCCACACCTGCATCCGATTCTGCCGGCCGCCTGCTCTTCCCGATGCTGTTCCCAGACCTTGCTGCCTTCCCTACTGTCGCAGACTTTGCCACTCACTTGCGTGCCCTAGAGACTCGCTATCGCACTGCCAGCACTGCTGCCCAGCTCACCGCGCTCCCCCCCCCATTCTGCATGACCCTCTATTTTATCGCCATGCGCCTGCCGGACTGCCTAGCTAGTACCCGCGACCGCTTCCTTAGCCAGCACCTGGGTGACCTCACACTGACCGCCTTTGTCAACACCCTCACCGAGATCGAGACGCGCCTGCGCATTATTGCTCAGTCGAGCGGTGCGCCGGCAGTCTCTATCTTTCACGGCTGTGCCCCCTCCCAGTGCACGTTTACTGACGTTTCGACTGCGGTCGCCACTGCGACCCCTCTTACCGAGACGGCTGCTGCGGTCCACCTGCAGCAGCGTCCACGCCACGGTGGCCGTGGCCGCCAGGGAGGTCGTGGTGGTGGCACTGGTGGTGGTGGTAGTGGTGGTGGTGACGGTAGTCCACCTGAGGGGACTACCACTGGTGGGCAGGAGCAAACGCAGTCGCCTTCGCAGCCGGAGCAGCCCCGGCAGCAGCCGCCGCCGTCTCAGCAGCAACCGTCGCAGCCGTGGGCTCGTCTCCCACCTGGTTGGCCCGGCACCTCCGGCGGTGGTGGCCGAGGTGGTGGCCCGCGCAGCTTGGTGTCCACCGGCAGCTCCAGTGCTGTGACCTGCCAGTACTAGCTTCAGACCGGGCCTCTCCGCGGCACTCTGTGCCGCCGCCCGCACACGACCGCCCGCTGTTTCCGCCGCCTCGATGATCTCTTTCGTCGTCGCTCAGCCCCGGACCTCCCCGACTGGCACAGCCTGCTTTGCCAGGGCGTGCCGATCTTTGAGTTAGATATGGATCAGATAGGTGCTGCTTTGCATGCTTTGTATGCTGACGCTTCTAGTGTTGTTGGATCTTATTACCCTGTGTACTCTAGTTTAGGAGTCTCACCCTTGTGTAGCTTAGCCTCCCCTGCTGCGTCAGGCGTAGGACTGCCTAGTTTGCCTAGCCTAGGTTCTGCACCAGCTCCGTTCCCAGCCTCCGCCACTGCCTCGCTGTCCATCACTCTCGACTCCGGTGCTTTTGCCTGTTTCTTCCGCGACTGCTCCACGCTCGCACCGCTTGCTGCGCCTGCTGTTGTCACACTCGCCGACCCCTCTGCTGGTCCTGTCGTTGCTCGCAGCTCCACCTCCCTTCCCTGTCCCGCCGTTCACTCCGGCTCCCTTACAGGCCTCCACGTTCCCTCGTTCTCCAGGAACCTGGTTGGTAGTGGTCGCGGTGGCAGTCCTCGTAGCTTGGCGTCTACCGTCGGTTTCGGTGCTGTCAATTGCCAGTGCCAGCTCCACACTGGGCCCCTCTGTGGCACTTTGTGCTGCTGCCCGCACCCGACCGCCCACTGCTTTTGCCGCCTCGACGACCTCTTCCGTCGCCGCTTCGGCCTGGCCTCAGACCGACTGGCCCAGTCTGCTGCACCACTATGTGCCTGTTTTTTACTTCGACATGGATCATATATGTTCTGCCCTGCATTCTCTATATGCTGACGCTTCTAATGTGTCCGGATCTTATTACCCTGTGTTCTCTAGCATAGGCGTAGCATCTGTGTGTAGTACAGACTCCCCTGCTGCGTCAGGCGTAGGACTGTTTGCGTTGTCTAGCTTAGGCTCTACACTTGCTCCTCCTCCGTCTGCCGCTACTGCTTCTCTGTCCTTCACACTTAACTCCGGTGCGTCTACCTGCTTCTTCCACGACCACGGTGCGCTCACGCCACTTTCCGCGCCTGCCGCTGTCTCACTTGCTGACGCCTCCTCTGGTCCTGTAGTTGCTCGCAGCTACACTACCCTTCCCTGACTAGCGGTTCCCTTGGGTTCCCTTACAGACGTGCACATCCCCTCATTCTCCCGGAACTTAGTTGGTGTTGGCTATCTTCAGGACCTCTGCGTCACCACTACATTTCCGGGTCACGCACGGTACGCTGTCTATACCGAGGCCGCCTCAGCTTCCCCCCTTGCGACGTTCCCCTGGGACCCGGTGTCTGGCCTCTTAATGTTGGACACTACTTCCCCCCCGGGTGGACCGTCCTCCCCGAATCTTGCGTCTACCCAGGTCGCCGCTGCGTGCTCGTGTGGGTCGCTCACTCACCCGTCGCTTCTGTGGCACCACCGCCTAGGTCACCCCACACTCCCGCATCTGAGTCACATGTCCCAGCACTGTCTTATCCTAGGTCTCCCTGCGTCACTTCTTGCCCTCCCTCCCTCGCCTGCGCCGCGGT